GTGCCGCCACCGGACGAATATACGTGAGTGTTTAGCCGTGTTTATATGTCAGTTTAGTATAATGTCTCACAAAAGTTTGAATAATTTAATATTAATGATGTACTCGTAATAAGTATATACATATAAAACCCTTATTTATTTACATCATATATAAATGTTTAATAAATAAGTAAATATTTAATTAAGTTACATATCAGATTACGTAAAGATTACTTCAACTTGGTAACCTTTAAAATGCATTAAAATAAAGTTATAGAAAATAAATACAACTTATTAATATTTTCAGAATTTCTAATACCAACAAAACAATAAAAAAACTAGCACAAAGTACTTTCTTGTTATCCTATAAAAGAGTTACCTATTGTAGTGAAAACTATTTTAGGACTTCAATCAGTAGATAGGTCCAAAAAGGATTTAAGGAACAAACTAATTCTATGATTTTAATAAAAAAATTTAATAAAAATTACATTGAATTTGATTATACACATGTTCAAAGAATAAAATAAAATTTACAATTTTTTTTTAAAGTAAACTTAAAAAGACTGTCTTAAAATTAATAAGTTAAGCAAGCTTATGTATCCTTAAAATAACTTAACACAGCCAAAGCTCTATTAGTAGTTCTTACAACTAAAAGCATCATAAACCTTAAACTCCCAAAGAGTTCAAAACTACACCGATATATTCACTGAACATGAGTTTATACATAATTTATTTAATTCATGTTTGTCATTCCCAAAGAAGCCTAAAACACCTAAGATCCAAAACAGACCATAGATGTATGTTGTAAGAAAAATATTGGAATTAACCAAAGAAACTTACCAGCAATATGAAAGAAGTTTGGGAATCTTTGGTTTCTACCATTTTTAAAACATAACTTTAAAGTACTACGCGGTATTGGGTACTACAGTACTAGGGTAAACTCCATTCCCTTCCACTTTGATCTCCCCGCTCACGATTTGTTGCAGTTGATTCTCGTACGCATGGCCGTCAGATATCTCCAACTTGGTGACCAGACTCCGCACAACAATTATTAAATATAAATGTATACCTGTTGAAGAAGATATGAGTTAGTTAATTATTCCCCAGCATTGTAAGCTAGCATGCCACACAAAAGATGTCCTACCATACAGAAGACAGGAATGAATACAATGTACAAGTTCCAGTGTTTGAGTTTTCGTCCCGGAGGCCTAATTTTAGTCCTCTTTGTCATCCCACACTCTTTCTTATAAGGAAGGGATGGGATGTGGGAGTGGATTTTCCGGATGCATGCATGGGAAGGGAAAATATTCTCTTTCTGTGCATCCATCTGCAATTGCGTGTCTATGGGTTATAGTCGCTTCGCTATTTCAGCGATTTCCGGTAGTCACTCGTTCGTTTGCCTTATGATGAGCGTATACCAGAGGCCAATTCTAGTCATCCTCCACTTTCCGGCCTTTTATTGTAGAGAAGATGGCAGAGAAAATAGAATTGCCAGGAGAAGAGACATATAGGAAGTGTTAATATCCTCTTTCTCTATGATATCTCCTCTGTTCATAACTTCTATGGACATTGATCACTTTGCTATTTTAACTAAACCAGATTGCCGTTTGCTTAATTGCCATCTCTTATTATGATCATCAGGTGACTTAAGATTAAATAAAGTTAAGCATACTATTACTTACATAGTCCTGTTATGTAGAGACATAACATTTCAATGACCATCCCAAAATGATGTGTATTCACCAAAGATACAATCTGAATAATAAATGTCATCAGCATGGTCGCCACGGCGTAGTAATAAAAGCTTTTTAAGAACAATAAGTTCCTCTGTAACAAATAAATCAATATAGGAACAACCAAAAAGAAGTAGTACTCAAAATAGTACGTAGAACTAGCTGTCGCCCGCGACACTGTACTCACGGAATTAAAAAGAAACTTAACTAGTAGCTTATATGTTCTTCCAAACTATGTTCTACATCAATGCCAAATTTCATCAAGATCTATTCAGCCATTCTGGAGATAATTTGAAACAAACATTTATCCATTCAAATATTCGCATTTACAATATTAGTAAGATAGAAATGTATTTCAGGGTTTTAGTTCGTGAACCTCTTCATTAGTCAAGGACAATGTATTGGGAACCTGGACGACGGGAAGACGGACGGACGGGATCATTGCAAATTGTCGCAGGACGTAGCCGGTCGCAATTTGAGATGATTCCGGATAACATACGTCTGTACTAACGATGTTAATTTAATTTTCAGGTAAAACAAGAATAAATGTAGAAATACTTTCAAATATAACATCTCTTTGATAATCATTTCAATGCACCGATTAAGTTAAAGTTAAAACACAATTTTTGGTATAACTTCGATAATAAAACTCAGATATGGTACAATCTGCCGGTATAATTTGTCGGTACGATTCTTTATTATTTAGTTATAATCAAAATCTTACCTTATGCGCACCGAACACCAGGGCAACATTCATCAGAACTTCCACACAGTAAATGCCCACGCACACCCCATCCTCAAAGGCAGCGGTGGAGCCGTGGTAAACCATTGAAAATCCAAGTTCGTGATGCACAGAGTAGCTATACAAAGACAGCATGAAGACTGAGAACAACTGTAAATAGAGAGTTTAAAATACATATACGCCAAACTTTGTAAAAACTAAAACATAAAATTAGTAATTTCCATCCATCATTAAACCCATTCAATATGGGAATGACATTGTTTAGATAGATGGATGTTTGTTTCAAGGTACCTCCAGAACGCCTGCATTGATTGCGATGAAATTTGACATAGATGTAGAGCATAGTCTAGAAGACACTAAGTACACTTATTATTACATTTGCGCGGATGGAGTTTCTGGCTACAGCTTGTATTTTCTAAAGTAATAAAAAATACAGGAATTGAACCTGTAGTGAAATCTTTGACTTTAGACATACGTCGTAAATAATTTTTAATTACACTAAACTATGAATATGTAATGACTTTTGTTATCATCTAAAATATTGTTATACATTTACACTTTGAGTTCGATGAACTAATAAATAAATACATAAAATATGGGGACCTCTCATGTACAGGACATTGAACCCATATTAACTGTGTACTCAAATATCACGGTGTCAAATCCGTTCAAGGAATTACAGTCTTGTTAATTTTTGTAAATATTTTGTTCGTAAAAGCTCTATTTATGATAACCAATAAGTTATTATGTCTTCCTGTCTGTTTATTTCTACGTTTTATGATTACATTAGCTGTCGCCCCCGACTCCATCTGCGGGGAATCAAAAAAACAATTTATCCTATGTTCTTCCAGAGAATGTTCTACATGCCTTTCGGAGAGATCCATTTAGCGGTTCTGGAGCTTCTAACAAACATCCATCCGTCCATCCAAACTTTCGCCTTTATAACATTAGTTTGGTTCTTTGGTATTATTAGACCACAGTCGAGTTTTTTGTTTGGAAACAAAAATTCTAAAAAAAAATCTAAAATATACAGATCATAAAATCAAATCCTTCATTCACCAATCATTCGCCAAAATATGTTGACCACTTTTTAAAAACAAACATATGTTTTATACAAATGTTTCAGCAGTGTAAACCCATATTAAACTTGAACTACAACATGACGTCATATAAATTCGCTTTGACCCAGCTCCATGGACTTAAGACGCGGTCAAGAACGAGGGTCGTGCCTCGCTGATTAGTCTATGTAGATAAGAGATGCAGTTACAGCTGATTCTACTTGTGTTTACACTGCTGAAACATTACAACAGAAACAAATTCTCGTCTAACTCATTATCTTCTTAAAAATGGAGAAAACAATATGTGAATTAGTCTTTTTAATTGTGATAATTGTGGATCATATTATAAATGCGAATGTTTAGATGGATGTTTTTTTTTTATAAGAGAAGGTCAAACGAGCGGCACGAACACCAAGGTGATCAAAGACACCGATGGACATCTGCAACACCAGAGTAACTGCAGATGCGTTGCCGGCCTTTAAGGATATGGTATGCTCGCTTCTTGAAGGTCCCTAAGTCGTATCGGTTGAAGGTATCTTCAAAACGGCTGAACGGATGTCGATGAAATGTAGCATATATACAGAATATAGTCTGGAAGAACACATGGGCTACTATTTATGTTTTTTTTCTTAAATTCCAAAGTCGCGGACGGCAGCTAGTATTTAATAAATTATACTTACAATATTAACATATCCAAATATCAGAGCACCTTTTCTTAGTGGCAAACAGAAACAACATCTAAATAACTTTGGTATTTCGCAGTACATTTTGTTTTGTTTATGGATCACAGGAACACACTTGCGCACGCGCACTCGTCCAATACGACACTAACTGTAACGTCCGGTGTTTGGTGTATTTATATACATGTGAATAGCTTCCGTCGGTTTGTCCGAGATGAAATACTTAATTATAATTATAACACATCGAACTTTTATATGATTATAGCTGTCGCCCGCGACTACGTAAGTGCGGGATTTAAAAAAAAGTTTAATAAGCCTATGTGTTCTTCCAGACCATGTTCTACAACTGTGCCAAATTTGAGAAAGATAACTTCACCACGATCCCACCTGGTGAAGTGGAGACTTGGTCGAAAGATGGTACGCGCTAGCTTAGTAAGTGCCTATTCACTCTACTTTTGAAAGTCCCCAATCCCCATCTAAACATTCGTATTTATAATATTAGTAAGATACGTTTTTTTATTACAAATTCATAACTTACCTTTATTCATTTTATTGTTATTTAAATTTGATATAAAACGTTAGGAAATTAGGACACAATAAGACGATTTTACGATTTTGGATTTGAGATTCTTTTTGTTCGTTATTTGCTCTTACTTGATAAGACATAATTAAGTTATCGTCCTCGTTTCGTTTTTAACCAACTTCAAAACGGAGTTTCTCAATTCGTCTGTTTTTATATTTATCTATATGTCTGACTGCAAGTCCGCTTCTGTTCCGGGTTTTCTCCAAAAAGGTGTGGGCCGATTTTGTCGGGACTTTGACGAGAAGAAAGAAGATTGTATAAGGGTATATTAAAGGCTACTTTTAATAACTGATGAAGTGACGGTTTACCTCTAGTTCGAACATAAAGAAGTTCAGATTGAATACACTATTCAGAAACTATAATAGTTTTAGACAGTATTAATTAGAATCATTTGGCGCGAATGACGTGCTTTCGTTACAAAATCCAGTGTCAGAACGAATAGTGAGGGGACATAAACGTAGACATTTTAGTAAGGCTAGTGTTGCGTCAATACACTGCCTCATTTTCGGATTTCCTAAAATTAGTTAACCTGAAAATCTCATAATTATTACTATCTACGTACCTAAAGTTTCCACTGCTAAAACATATTACATAACAAATATATAAAAACAATTGATAAATATAAAAACTTCATAACAATAATAGTGGGAAGACCTTAGTTATCTGTTTTTATTTGTTTAGGAAACTACATCAACGTAAATACCAATTTCAGTTCAAAATAAAAGCCACATGTATAATCTCAACAAACACGTTGATTAGACGGTCAGAAAACCGAGATAAATGTTCTGCGAACTTAATCATAATTATTACGTTATCTCGACAAATTAGTACAAATTTTTATCGAAATATTAAATTGTGTATTGTGATTTAAGATGAAATGTTTATAGATGTCGTCCGCCACTTAAAATATCAACATTATGATATACTAGCGGAAGCCCGCGACTCCATTTGCGAAATAAAAAAAAAAAACGTTATCAGTAACCTATGTGTTCATCCAGATTACATTCTATATGTGTACCAAATTTCAACGAGATCCATACAGCCGTTCTGGAGATACCTTTTAACAAACATCCAACTAAACATTCGCATTTATAATATTAGTAAGATAGTAAAACGCGCAACAATTAGTCTGTATTTGGGACCAATTTATAATCGCCTATTTACCTATAATTTTATTTTTAAGCAAAATACTCGTAAAACAAATAATAAAAATGCGTAAGCAACAGTTTCTCCCATATACTTAAGATCCATCATACATCCGTCTCATACATTTTATACATACAAACATTTCTCATACGTACAAATTATTTAAAATACATTACGTAGGTAGAGCTCTCCCACTTTAAGAACGGTTAGCTGGTAGATAACTTTTCGTAATTATTTTACTATATTAACTGGGTGTAGAATAAAAAATAAAGAAATAGATTATAGAAATGTTTATTAGAGAGATATCAAATAATAATAAACTTAAAATAAATTCGTAATTTAAACCTATTTTATTCAATCCAATAAGCTTAACAAATACTTTTGTAGATCGACAAAATGATCTAACCCGATCGGTATTAGTCAAACGTAATTACAATTCTTTATCGCTCCGTCAACGTCGAAAGAAAATAAGAACCTTAGGGGTTAAAAAGTGCATTCGCTTTGAAGCGATTGCGTAACAAATTTCAAAAATGTATTTAACTGACGCGCGACAATCACGTAACTTATCAAGAGTTATTGTCAATTATATACATTTTTGAAGTTATGGAATCACTTCGTAGTCGCACTTTGTATATAATCTCGGTTGTCGGTCTGTAGTTGTCATGTTTACTCATGAGTTTGCCTCAGTTCGCTGTAGCGTCTAACACCGAAAAATATAAGTTTGCCCCACTATACACAAGATTGATTAGAGCGTCGGTTGCTCTGTGGTCAAGCACTTGACTTGCAATCTGCAGGTCCTGGGTTCGAATCCCGCCATGTACCGATGTCTTTTTCCATTTCCGATTTACATATGTACATTTATCCGAAGTTCTTACGGTGAAGGAAAACATCGTAAAGCTGCACATATCTGAGGAGAAATTCAAAGATATGTGTGAAGTCAACCCGCACTTGGCCAGTGTGGTTGACTATGGCCTAATCACCCTTAACTTAGGGTAGGCTCCGAGTCCCTCCGTGGGGACGTATAGTGAGCTGATGATGATGACTCAAGATTAACGATTTTCTTGACTCTCTATTACAGGGCTGCCACAAACATTCAATTGATTTTGATCATAAATAACTACCATATCTGGTAATTCTTTTTCTTTCTTCACCTCATTCTCTTCTAAATACGGCGGTAGTTCTAACACTGTCGGTCTGATTGGTCTTATATTTGTTTCTAATATACAACTACTGTGTGGCAGTAATTGATCTTGATTGAAGATTATTTCTACATCTTTGATGTTTACTATTTTCTCTTCTACATATAAACATTGAGATGTTACATTCGCTGTAACACTTTCAGAGGTGCTCGGTAACATAGGTTCATAACATGTGCATGTTTGACAATGATTCAGTTCATTGCTTATGTTTCCTGATATTGGATTGGAGGCAACTGTTGGTTGTTCAACATTAGTTGTATTTGGTAAGTTTATAATAAGTTTTGATTTACCTTTTAATTGCTTATATTCACTGGATAACGCTAATAAGTTGTACCCTTCGAATACTGGAAAGATAATAGATTTATTAAGCTATTGTGAGAACGTCAGTAGTAAAGTGTTTTTCGATTTACATATGTACATTTATACGACGTTCTTACGGTGAAGGAAAACATCGTGATGCAACTTGCACATATCTGAGAGGAAATTCAAAGATATGTGTGAAGTCAATCAGCAATGGGCCAGCATTGACTATGGCCTAGTCACTGCAAACTTAGGGAAGACTCCGAGCCCCTCAGAGGGGACGTATATTGAGCTGATGATGAAGCTATTGTCTAGTCTTTTGTACTATATTCTTTATTGTCAGAGTGATAAAAAGCAAGTAATTTTCTATGTATACTTACAAATACAAAAAATAACTAAAACTTTCGAGAATAGTTGAGTAAGGACTGCTCCGAATAAGGATAAAATGATGTCCAAAATCCAATTTAGGGTATTGTTGAATATAACGATTTTCAAAATTTTCGGCTTTTTCTGTAATAGTAACAAATAAAATCGTAAATATACTGAGGACTTGCAGAATAGTTTTTATTTTAAAGAAGAAAAAAACAGTTTTACGGCGTTACATCAACTTTCACCCACTACAAATATAAAACCCGAGCAATACTGCAAAATATTTTAGCTTAGTAGTCAACGCAAAATTAAAAAATAAATCGCATCTTAGTTTTTACTAATATTATAAATGCGAATGTTAAGTTGGATGGATGGAGGGATAGATGAATGTTTGTTTGAAGGTATCTCCGGAACGGCTAAACGGATCTTGATGAAATTTGTCACATATATAGTAAATAGTCTAGAATACCACAAAGGCATTATTAAGTGTTTTTTAATCCCACGCGGAGTCACGGGCGACAGTTAGTAGAAATAATTACCTTATACATTGCGTAGATTGTGGATACAAGTGACAAGATGTAAATCATCTTGAAGGCACACCACAATACGAGGTAAGCAACGACCAATGTGTAAATTTTCTTCGCTCGCTCAAGCTTGTCATCTGTCAAATTAACTTCAAAGTAATCTTCTAATGCTGACATATCCATTGAGAACAGAAATCTTCCACCTTCTACTATGTAGTAGACCATGAAAATGTTGATTACAGTTGCAATTATGTAGAAAACCTACAACAATGAAATACCAAATTTAAATATGAAGGTAGAATAGTAATCCGGTAGGGATAGACCCTTAAAGTTGAAAGGGAATGATGAGAAAAGTGACATAAGAGGAAATGATAAAGGACGAAAATTGGTACAACTACCCTACATGAGTGGTAGCTGAAATGCGTATGCTAAGATGGATGTGTGGTGTGACAAGGAAGGATAAAGTTAAAAATGTGTATATTAGAGGAAGTTTGAAAGTAGCGCCAGTGATCGAGAAATCAAGGAGTAAAAGATTAGCGTGGTTTGGACATGTTATGAGAAGGGATGATGATGATATAAGCAAAAAAGTAATGAGATTGAATGTGGATGGCTACAAGGGTAGATGAAGACCAAAAAAAGTATGGAATGACTGTGTGAAAGATATGCGTAAGAAGGGGGTAGACACGGATATGACGGCTGATAGAGATGTATGAAGGAGTAGTACTGTGCCGACCCTCGATAGGGATAAGGGCAGGTTGATGATGATGACCCTACATGAGTGGAATAACAACAGAGATGATGATGAACAAAAACAATACACTTCGTTGTGTTTAACTTTAGTTGCTACTGCTGAATTACAAAGACAATTTCAGAATCTATAATAAGCATACACGAAGAGGATAGAATACTCAATTCATCAAAAAAAGGAGTTCAAATCCGATTCTCCATAAATTTGAAGTCGGTGATTTTTCTTTTTTTTTAATAAAATACTTTTTTCAGTGTTTTGGCAATGATAACCCACTGTTATATTAAAAAAAATACAAAATCATTACTTGCAGTGAAAACTTCGCAACAATGAAAGTGAATTTGACACAGTTAAAATAATTGTGGAGACGAGGAGCAAAGCAATATATAATCGGAAAATGGTCTTTGTTTATGATTAAATTACGATCAATGGGCGACCAGTAGTATATAAATTAATTATAAAACTCACCAAACATATTATACTTCTTATGTACAGGCCAGTTCGTAGTTTGCAGACTCCGCAGTAGAGATGAAGCTCTGGCCAGTACCATTTTGCCTTCTTTTTATATCTGAAATAAATAACATCATAATATAAACACCCTGTAATAGGTAGTAGAAAGGCGATCTCGTTTATATAATATAACAAGGAGAACTTTAAATAAGAAAATGGAATACACCAGTAGGAATAGGCTCGGAAGAAATGGATGGGTTACGTGATAGGTGATTTATAATAGAGTGACAACAGAGTTGTAGGAGATAGAAGGAGAGAGGAAGATAGATTGATCCGAATGATGAAATTCTTTTGCACCGAACCCGCATAGTGTAGGATAGATGTGTGTATGTCAGCTCTGAACCGATTCAGTTTAATCACATAAAGGAACCGTTGAACTGTGGCTCAATAACTATGTTTGTTGACAAACCGCGAGTTACCTGGTGACTCGCAAAACTTTATGGAGGTATAAATTGAGCTGTACTGCGAGCAGGTACACTGATCTGGTTCATGGGAGTCCATGGGAGCTAAAATTATTGTAGGGTTACCGATAACAAGCCTGGGATGTGGACAGAAGATGATGATGCAATCTAGACGTAGCAGTAATCAATACCAAAACAGTTCATATTAATAAAATGTGACAAGGAAAACAATATCTTTTTAAATCTATACTTAATCTACTTTTAAATCAACAAATCGATCGTCTGTCGATGCATATTTTTCCTAGGATTGTTAAAAGCCTACAGTCAGTTAAGTTTTTTGCATAAGTTTTTGACATTTGAGATTTTTTTTTAACCTGTAACTATTGAAATAATCTATTATTATAAATAAAATGACTTACTTCCTGATGCTATCTTTGGTACGTTCCCGACAACAATCCAAAAGCTCCCGAAGACTGCGCTGTCTGAAAAGCTCCATAACTCGTATTATTTACGATTACATCACTTAAATATATTGTTATCATTACATTAAATATATTTTAAAACATATTAAATGTATCACCATACTTTAAATTGTATTTTTCGTAATAATCACATTTCATTTAAGACATAATATATCTGCAAAGTATAACAGCGAACTGGCAACGTAACACGATAACAGCAGAACCAGAAATATTATCGACGTATAAACTAATCTTATCTTTTGCGAATATTTTATATTATCGCACTGACGAGACGTTTATTTAACAATTTTTATAATATTGATAACTTAACACTTCTATTTACGTGACAAAAATATCCGGTATAACTGATTTACTGCCTTTTATTACATAGTTGTCGCCCGGGATACAGTTCGCGCGGAATTAAAAACCTAATAATTAGCCTATTAATTCTTCCAGACTATGTTCTATATGTGTGCCGAATTTCATCAAATTCCGTTGTGCCGTTCCGGTGATACCTTTAAACAAACATCCATCCAAACATTCGCATTTATAATATTATTAAGATTTTTATTTTATACAAACTCTACCTTATGCAATGTTGCATAACACCTTTTTTGGCACAAACTGGAGGCATTATAATATTGATAAGATTGTGAGCCCATAACCTAAGCCAAGGCGTGGTTATTAATTAGAAAAATGTCGTTTCAAATCTGGTAAACTTGTACATAAATAATAGTTAAATAACTTAATTCTTATATTTTAGTTAGTAGAAATGATACTTCATATTGTTTATGCAACTGGGAGATAAACTGCCTTTTGCTCTCAATAGATGTCAGCATGATCGAGAGTAACTACACCACAGATAAATAATGCGCCTTACGTTACTTGCAAAGTACTCTGTGGCCCGTAGTCAGAGCAACGAATGCTGTCAAATTAAAAAAATAAGTAATTTTTTAAAGATTCAGTTCATAAATTATTTGCAACAAAAATAACTTTTTTCCTGTGGATCATTCCAGCTTCGGAGCTCTTTTTCGATGCCGGCACAGTCAAGAAGGAGTACATTTTTATAAACACTAGAATGACGTATTAAAAATTTGACAGATGACAGATAACATCCACTTGGCAGTGGCGCCACCTACCTAGTTTTTCTTTTATCTTTTATGCTTATTTATCTACATTTTTATGTCAACTTGACATAATTTCCTAACCTCTGTTTGTCATATTTTACGTTTTATTCATTTACAATGTTTTAAAATGCATTTCAGTTTTCAAGGCACCAATAGTAACGAACAATAGTAATGGTATTATTCATCAAATAAATAGAAAATTTACGCAGCCCAATGTGTTTAATCGTGGAAGTTATTCTGCCAACAATTCAAACATTTCTACTTCTCTTCTCGTTACGAATTGGTTGCCTTATAATTCTCGCTTGGACGTCTGTTAGTATTATTTTAATAATTTAATAAATATTAACAAACATAGCCAAACAAAACGCGAATTTAACAGAAAAATATTACGACCAAAATCCAAAATAGCCTTAAATAGGGTTAAAGTTAGGGAATGCATCAACAAACTTTCAAAAGAATTAAAATGTCTAAAGGCAACGGTCACTTCGCTATTCAGCCACCTGCTACAAAAAAAAAAGTAAAAATTATCATGAACTCAATTGGTTGTAATGGGTATGCTCACAAAAGACAGCAGTAAATTACACCTCAATATTACGTAAATTGTTCCGCAATTTTGAAATGTTTTATACTAAACGCTTCTTTACAGTTCAGAACATGGTTTGGCATTGTGTTCTTCTCGTCAGCGATACTGGAAGTGCTGGCGAGACGCAAATCGCCGCTGCACATGTTACTTTTGTGGCCGAAAAAGAAATTCATATTTGATGAAAACTTCTATCTCATTTATTATTTATATGTAGCCTTATTAGTTGTTGAGGCTATACTGTTTGTGTTTTGCCTCGTTTATTTCACATGGGGCTTGTATAAGGTGCGTCAAAGAAATATTTTTATCGTCCGCCACTCCGTCCGCGCAGAATTATTAGTAGCCTACGTTCTACTTTTATACTAAATTTCAGCCAGATCCATGCATTCATTATGGAGATACCTTTAAACAAATATCCATCCAAACATTCGCATTTATAATATTAGTAAGACATAAGTAAGATTTCAGATAAGATAAGAAAAAGAGGAAGAATCTTGGTCTAAAGCTATATCGTGACTCATTTACCTTGTCTGGGTAGCTAAGTACTATATTGGGCATCCCTTTACGTCCCAACGATACATTCTACACATCGTTACGTGTAAAATCTCGTTCTACCAATAAGTTTTTTTGTCTCTACGCTACTATTACGTACATCGGCTTCGCTACGAATAATCAATTTTGTCTTTCAAATAGAAAACATAGTTACAACGATATTAAAGCAACGATTACGTTTAAAATTAAATGTTACAGGTAAGATCACGGCCGCTACGCCAATATTTAATCTGTCGCTGCGTAACATGGCTGGCAGAGGTGGTGTTGCTATTAGCTCTGTGCCTCAATCACAGGAAACTCATAGGCTGGTACTTGGTCATGCTGATGTTTGTCAGTGAGTATTGTCGGACGTCGCGATGTTGACGCAGCAAACGCTTTTTAAAACAAATGAGCATCTAGCCTCAGTTCTGATGGAATTGAGAGCTTTATCTCGTAGTATCTTATAGTATACTAACAGCCGACCGAATTCCGTTCGCGCGGAATAAAAAATCTTTTTTAGTAACCTATGTGTTCTTTTACACTATGGTCTACCTCTGTGTTAAATTATAGCGAGATCCATGCAGCTGTTCTGGAGATACCTTTAACATCCATCCATCTAAACAATTGAATTTATAATCCTTTGACGCGAATGGCGCGCTTTTACCAAAGTGAAGTGTCAGAATGATTAGTGAGGGGACATAAACGTTGATATTTTAGTAAGGCTAGTGTTGCGCCAGTAAACACAACACAGACACAGTGTCGGATTTTCTTCCTAACAGTAGGTATATAACTGTAATCGGTGTTCTTTGCCATCAGATAGGATGTTTAAATAATTTCTTTTATTATATTACCACAGTTCTGGAGTTCTATTCGCTAATAACTGTATACAGTTATTACGTAAATTTAACAACTGAGGAAAATGATCCCCGGAATTATCCCGAAAAAGTACAAAACCTTTATGACTTAAGTACAAAATCGTAAGTTTTAATTTCAATAGTAATTTTTTACTGAATATTATTTTTGAGGTTAGGAAAATATATTTAATAGAAGTCTTTCTGTTTTTAGTAAAGGTAGCGAAGGACAATCGCAGACAACTTCACTCGTAACACATTACTATCGCCGTTAAAATATGGTATGAATATTTAATTGTTAACTTTATGAACAAATTACAAATTACAACCGTGGGTTTCTAATACCAAAAGCTTTGTATATATCATCTCTGTTATAACCTTATACTAATAAAGATAACAATTATGTTTTAAAGGGAGATTTTGATCTCGGAAACTCACGGATCCAATCTCTTTTAACCGACTTCAAACAGATAATTTTTCAACAAAAATTCTCTGTGTTTTGACAGTCTGAAACACAACGGCTGGATATGGACATGCATAATGTATAACTACAAAACAGAATCAAATCTAAAGACTGATTATTTTATTCTTTTTAAAGTTAACCCGCGCCGGACGCACCGCACACACGGATTAAACGGATTTGCTTCGTCTTACCGTTGCGAGCCGTTCGTGCAGTACGTCCGGTGCGGGCCAATAGACGCGTACTTTTTTTTTACCGTTACCGTTTACCGTTTTAATAGCTTTTAAACTTTGGAACAAAAAACAATCGGATTTAATAAGTATAACTTCGGAATGGTCTGTCCTCGGTAGTATTTCCAAACCGCTACGAGTTAGGGTCCTTCAAGAAGCGAGTTTATCACTATCTCAAAGGCCGGCAACGCATCTGCGGTTCCTCTGGTATTGCTGATGTCCATGGGCGTCGTTGAACATCTCGGTGTTCACGCTGCTCGCAGCCCCCTTCTGTTATAAAAAAAATAATGCGTTCGTAATATTAAAATGTTATATCAATGTTGTTCTAAAAAGGAATATAAGTAAGATTTAAATAACATATAATTTATCGAAAACGGAATGAACAACTACAGCGATAACAAAAACAAACATTGTTTCGAAGTCCAACTTAATTTCCAAGTTTATCTTTAATAGTCGCCCACGACTTCGTTCGTCCGGAATTAAAAATAGTTGTCGAATCTCAGAACAACTGAATATGCATTTAAATTTCATAAAAATCGGTCAAGTAACGAGAATTTTATATATAACATTCAATTAGTTACAAAAAAAACTTATCTGTCTCCATTCCCGATGTCCTAAAACGTAGTTAATTCTTATATGTAAATTATAGCAATCTTATAATGCCAAAAACAAACCAATTTAAATGACAATAATTTAGTATTGTATTGAAAAAGATGAAATTTGTTCAATATGCATGTCCATTTTTTCTACTAACTTTTGGTCGACGGTGCGTTATCGTGATAAAGCCCTTTTTGTTTGAGATAAGTAGATAACGCTCGCCCGGCGATATTAGTGCATCACACACAAAATATTGTAGTTAGTTTTTATTTTTAACGCTTCGAAGTTCCCATTTTGTATAGTGTAATGAAAATATATTGTCAGTGTTCTATTATGTAGTTTAAAAACAAATCCTTGTGTGTTGTGATCGTAAATAGTTTATGTTAGTAGAAAAAAAATGGCGTATACATTACCGCGTATGGAAAAATGCTGTTGCATTAGCTTGAGGACTGGTTCCCTTATAGTTGGATACGTTTCTATTGTAAGTATTATTATAGTAATGTAAAAATACCATTAATGACATATGTTTAGTGAATTATTTCCGCAAATTTTTCTTATTTTTGACTTGTTGGTTATACGCCTGTCTTAAAATAATAGCAAACAAAATTAAACATAACTGTATTTTTATTGGTTAGGTGCATTATACATATTTACGGGTTATTCTGACCATTTATAGTTTTTTTTTTCTACACTAATATTGTAATAAAAAATTATAATTACGTTTGTTTCAGGTAATTTCCTCATTATTTACGGGAGCCGTATCATGGTCCCTCTACAAAGTAGTAACGTACGTTTCAGAGGTTAAGCCGAATCCCGAGCACACTGCCGAGGAGATTGCCAAAGTAGCGTTAGGAGTCTACATCTCCCACGCTTACCTCTTGCTTGTCCTTCTATATTACTTCTTTATTAGCCTTCTACTTGTCATTGGAGTGCATATGGTATGTCATAAATTTTGTTTTCAACTGTTGCAAACTTTCGGTACGAACTTCAGAAGAATACTTTCTTCAGTATTTTCCCTTAGGATTTATTTAGGAAATAACGTTTTTCTGTCGAAACGATGGCAAATATCTTTTTTATAGCTATTTATATTGTAAGTCATTAACCATGGGTTTCAGACACCAAAATCCCGAATAAAACATATTGTTATCTCAAACATGTCAAGGATGACGATATTTTTTTTTAATTTCAGAACAAAACGAAGTATATGAGGTACTACTTCAAGGCAGGACTCTTCCTATTGGCACTTGCGTTGGCTTTGGTTGTCGTTACTACTATCTTCTTGGGACTTTTGGCGACCATACCACTGTTAAAGTGGAGTTGTAAGTAGAAGATTTATACTAAAGAGCTTAAGATATGCTTCAAAAGTAAAGGATACTTTTCTGTTGAATGTAGAATAATTTCTCTTTCTTATTTTCAGTGACTCTTTTCTTCTGCCTAATAGTTGTAAGAAGCACTTATTTACAAATGGAGGAACAAAACAAACCACGTGTGTACGAAATGCAAACGCTTTATATTACTCCGCAAGCTCCTTTAATGGCATAAACGTTTTGATACTTTATATTTTAAAAATTTTAATCTATCCAATAAATATTTTTACTTGGGTTTTTATTCATTTAATTTAGTTACAAAGTAAAAAGACCTTGTTATCCCTTTCTTGTTGTTAACACAATTCCTATTTTTTTTATCTAGTAAAGTAGCGAACACGAAAATAATTAGGAACCTTTTATAATCTGCTTGGTGTCATTAGAACAATCTGTCTCTTCGTTGTCTTTGGTCTATGCCCATTTCAACCAAAGAGATAAAATAAGAGACGGGACTCTCGACTAATTAGATACACAAACGGAGAATAAAAATTGACATTTTCAATGCTAGCAATATTACAATGTGGTGAGAGGTAAATCAAATTTAACTTCTTTTTATCTTACGTTGCTGGAACTAAAATAATATTTATAACATCCAAGAGTCATGAGTACGATTACTTCCCGATTTAAAATATATGTTCACTTCTTCTTCTTCTTCTTCTTCTTCTTCTTCTTCTTCTTCTTCTTCTTCTTCTTCTTCTTCTTCTTCTTCTTCTTCTTCTTCTTCTTCTTCTTCTTCTTCTTCTTCTTCTTCTTCTTCTTCTTCT